TTATAACATAGGTAAGCACGTGTGTTCAAAGTAAGATAGAAAAATATGGAGACGATATATATGTATATATCTAACACTACAGTAATAGAGGAAAAAGACAAGTATTTAGGTAGTACTAAAGGTATTTCTAACATTGTAAGGTATTATTATTATTAAAACTTTTTTTTTTTTTTTTACACGGAAGCCTCAAAGTGAACAATAATGGTTTTGTACATAAGAGATTGTTGATCATTTGATAGAAATGTAGAGGTCTTTTTCAAATAGTACAAACCTAGCAGAACTTTAGTTTTTACATTATCAGTTTGCTTTATTCCATGATGAATTTTCATCGATATAAACACCGAGGTGTTTGCAATAACTAACTCCTTTTAAACAATTATTTTCTATATACAAAATAACATTATTGTTTGATAGTTTAGAAAGTTTCTTCTTTGTACCAATAAACATACTCAGTTTTTTTTTTTTACATTTAATGTAAGTTTATTGTTAAGAAGCCACTTTCTAATGCTTTCAAGATCAACATTTAAGTTATACAGTAGAACCTCGTTTTTACGTACTGCAGTTATACGAACCCTCGGTTTTACGTACGCCTCGTATCGATGATGACGTCATCAAAAACCCCGAAAATATTCAAAATAAATGGCCCTTTTCAGAGCAACCATAAGTAAAAAGACTATAACAATAAACTATAACAATAAACAAACCATAATGCAACGTATTTTCATTAAACAGCAACGTTGATTGAGTCTAATACCGGGTTGTTATAATTTAAAACCATGTGAACCGAGTGAGATGAACAACTACCGATGGTGCTCAAAATAATTGCTTTCCTCCTTAGCTTCGTGTGGCAAACCATGGAAAAACTTGTCTGGTTGAATTTTCTACACGAAGCTGAGTAGACATAGTTTCGTACTCGAACGCTAATTGGTTGGCTCGCCCAGTGCAGTGCACATGGTTTCTGTTTCACGTACATGAACACTAATTGGTTGGCTCGCCCAGTGCAGCGCACATGGGTTTAGTTTGTCTCAACAGGCCCAGACAACACCACAGCTCTGTTGTTTAGAATAGGCATGAAGGGGAATTCCCAAGTTATACCTTTGTCTTATACTAGGTAATCTTACAATATTTTCATGTTCTTTAGTTATAAAGATATAAAGTGATGAATTAATACACTAGACACATGGTTTTATTTGAACACTTTATTATGACATCGTAAAGTGATGAATAAAAACACTAAACACATGGTTTTATTTGTAGGCCTAGAGGCTAGGTCTAGCCTGGCTAGGTAACATCGGTCGTTCATACATACGTATATTGAGGGTCAAAGGTTACCACACATTTAACCTAACCTATATTTTACAAATCCCCCGATTTAAGTACGCCCTCCGGTCCCGTACCATACGTAAAATCAAGGTTCTACTGTAATATAATAATGTATTGTATCATCAGCAATGTTAATATTCTTTTATATTTTACAGATAAACTTTTAAATTGTTCCAAAATCTGGATCGTCACCAAAATTTAATAACTTCTTCCTAATTGTAACTTGGTTAAACTTTCCAGAAAGTTTCATTCATATCAGTTTTTGGTATATCTTGTCTGGAAAATTTTCCTTTGAGTGGTCTTCATATCCACACCCTACTCCGGATCATCACCAAAATTTAATCATTTTATGATTTAGAATGTGACAAACTATCTTGGAAAGTTTCGTTTTAATCTATTGATAAGTTTTGTGATATATTTAGGTCTGGAACGTTTAAAAAATCAAATGACCCTGAAATTCACACCCGAATCGCCATTTAATAATTTCTTTCTTGTAACTTAGAAAGTATAAAGTAAATAACAGCAGCACTTTTGAAACTAACAATATATAATTTATTCTCTAGCTTTTGTCAGTTGATCCCTTTTGAAATATCTAGTGGGTGTTGGTGGGGGGGGGGGGTTCCCTTAATCCCTTTATCCCTTTAAATTCAATCTGAATTGTCAGTAAATTTTAGGAGGAACATCCTTGATATATTGTCTATGCTTGGACAAAGTTTTTTTTGCTAAATAAATGATTGCTTATCATAGCTTAGCTTGATATTTGTTTCTTACAGCCATCTCCAGCTGAACTGCAACTACAGTAGGACTTGATTAAGTCTTAGAACTTTGACTACATTGTTTATAAATACAAATTGAAGTTGGAGTTGCAACTAAGACTAGTTGAAGTTTCAGTTCGATAGTTTTTTAAAAGAATTTGGGCATATGTCTGAAACTACTGTAAGAAGAAATTTGTAGCAGATAATCTGTAGCTATAATGCATATGATCTTAAATCTTCTATGCCAAATGGATCCTGATAGAGTACCTTATGCATATATTGTCATTATTAAGGTATTTATTTCTGTCACTTCGATTCCTTTCCAGCAACATTACCAGCAGTGCAATAAAATGATAACTCTATCTAAAAAGCTGCGAGAAGAAGCAGCTAAAAAGAAGGGTGTGTCAGTTTCAGGTAGTAGCAAAACTCAACGAGCTTCTGTACGGGATAAACTACTTGCAAAAGAAGTGCCAGAAATGAAAGATAATCTTCCAGGTGAGAAATCGTTAAAAATTAACACACTACAGTTGTAAATTTGGCCTTCTAATTATAGGGGAACATCACCCAACTTGCTTTTTTTTTCTTTTGAATCTTTTGAATACATCAAAGATATTCATTGTACTGCCCGCATGAAGGTGAAGTGGGGGGGCTTGATGATCAGTTGATGGGCGCTAATTCGCAAAATATGGTGATTTTTAACTACTTGACCGAGGTGGGGGGGGGGGCATGCGCCTGTCTGCGCCCTCCCTAGATACGCCACTGCATCATGGCAACTGTCCAACTTCGAGTCGAGGCAAGCCAACCTCTACACACAAACTATGCACGGTACAGCCCATGAATCCCATGTCGCTTAGACACGAATGCAGGCCTAAGTTATAATATAATGTCCAGGTAACTGTAATAACATAAAATAGCATTCTAAACTAGATTTATGTATTAAATATTTAAACTATCATAAAGTCTCGATGAAATTTAGTAGATTTAACCGCTTACTGAAGTACAAATGTGCGTTCCTGTCTTCCTGGTTTGATGGACTATGCAAGAGTTTGAAATAAACAAGTGCACCCTCTACCGGTTTAATCATATTTAACTTCTCTAACCCTAACATTCATATTTGAGAATTTCAGTAACTTTGTTGCAGAGAATTAACAATGCAAAAGTGAGTTACATTTTCTACTAGAAATAGCTGAATTTACAGTCTTAGTTGTTATCAGGGCTGGCGGAACGTTTTTCAAAGTGGGGGGGGGCCCACTTATAAGATGAATGGGAATATGAATCATGCAGATCTGGAAAAACCTAGGGGATGGGGGTCAACATTTTTCCCAAAAAGGAAAGGGGATCCGGGGGTCCTCCCCCGGGAAATTTTTGATTTCTAGATGGCGGGAAATGACCTTTCTCGACTTTTAAGCTAGGTTTCTAATGACTTTGTTCTTCAAAATTCAAGGTTTCCAAAGAATAGGGAGGTCCGTGGGTCCTCCCCCGGGAAAATTTTTATATCTAGAAGGCGGGAAATGAGTTTTCCCGACTTCCGAGGTGTCTTTTAATTACTTTTAAGTTCTTCAAAATTCAAGGTTTTCCCCTCTTGAAAACAGTCAGGTAAATTTATCCCTGTTATCAGTAGATAGGCCTTATGTGTGTATACATACATAAAAAAATTGAGTAGGCCTAATTGCATACGATTTTTTTTCCATTAATCCATAAATCCCAAAAAGAAAGGGGGGTCCGGGGGTTCTCCCCCGTGAATATTTTGATTCCTAGAAGGCGGGAAATGAGTTTTCCCGACTTCTGAGGTGTCTTGTAAGTTCTTTCAAATTCAAGGTTTTCTCCTCTTGAAAACAGTCAGGTAAATTTATCGCATTGTTATTACAGTAGATAGGCCTTATGTGTATATACATACATAAAAAAGAAATGAGTAGTTGCATACAATTTTTTTCCATGAATCCATAAATCCCAAAAAGAAAGGGGGGTTCTCCCCCAGGAAAATTCTGATTCTTAGAAGGCGGGAAATGGGTTTTCCCGACTTCTGAGGTGTCTTTTAATTACTTTTAAGTTCTTTAAAATTCAAGGTTTTCCCCTCTTGAAAAAGGTCAGGTAAATTTATTGCATTGATATTAGAGTAGATAAGCCTTATGTATGTATACATACATAAAATAAAATGAGTAGTTGCATACGATTTTTTCCATGAATCCACAAATCCCAAAAAGAAAGGGGGTCCGGGGGTTCTCCCCCGGGAAAATTGTGATTCTTAGAAGGCGGGAAATGAGTTTTCCTGACTTCTGAGGTGTCTTTTAATTACTTTTAAGTTCTTTAAAATTCAAGGTTTCCCCCTCTTGAAAACGGTCAGGTAAATTTATCCCATTGTTATTACAGTAGATAGGCCTTATGTGTGTATACATACATAAAAAAAATTGAGTAGTTTTCATACGATTTTTTTCCATGAATCCATAAATCCCAAAAAGAAAGGGGTGTCCGGGGGCTCTCCCCCGGAAACATTTTGATTCTTAGAAGGCGGGAAATGAGTTTTCCTGACTTCTGAGGTGTCTTAATTACTTTTAAGTTCTTTCAAATTCAAGGTTTTCCCCTCTTGAAAACGGTCAGGTAAATTTATCCTATTGTTATTACAGTACATAGGCCTGACGTGTGTATACATACATAAAAAAAATTGAGTAGTTGCATACGATTTTTTTTCCATGAATCCATAAATCCCAAAAAGGGAAGGGGGTCCGGGGGTGTCTCCACAGGAAAAATTTTGATTCCTAGAAGGCGGGAAATGAGCTTTCCCAACTTCTGAGGTGTCTTTTAACTACTTCAAAAGTCAAGGTTTTCCCCTCTTGAAAATTATTATAATGAATCAATGAACCCAAGAGAAAACGGAGGTTCGGGTTCTTCCCGGGAAAATGTTAATTTCTAAATGGTGGGAAATGAGCTTTCCCGACTTCTGAAGTACCGTATCTTATAGCGATTTTAATTTAAGTTCTTCAAAACGGTCAGGTAATATTTTCCCAATCCCAAAAAGAAAGGTGATCCGGGGGTTCTCCCCCGGGAAAATTTTAATTTGTGGAAAGCGGGAATGAGCTTTCCCGACATTTGAAGTGTGTTTTAATGACTTTTATGTTTTTCAAAATTCTAATTTTCTGATTGTAACATAAAAAAAAAAAAAAAATCAGCTCACGGGTCCTGAAAAGGTAGGTCTAGAATTTTTTTCCCGTCACACAAAAATCTCCAGACATTATTTTTTGCAAAAAAAGTGGGGGGCCCCGGGCCCCCCCGGTTCCGCCGGCCATGATTATTATGTAGTGGTAATGAGCAGTGGTATTGATCACTCTGAGGTTATTTAGTTTTATTATCCAAAACTTATTATAGAAAAAATCTTGGCCTGTCAAGGGGCAGGACATGTTGAATCAGGTTTAATATGTCCTAATCAATCAAGGCCCTATGGAAACTTCAATATGCCCATGATACTGGATGATGGATTTGCTGATTTAAAGCCCAGATAACATTTTACGAAAAATCTAAATTGGGAAGCATTTTGATGAAATACTCGACAAAACTATTTTTCTGTGTCGTCAGCGTACAAAGGGAATGTGTGGAAAAAAAGGCCAATCAACGGACAGGATTGTCTACAGAGCTTCTTGGTCAGCACTGCAAAATACGGCTACACCTGTACCAACAAGGAAATATGCACATCGATCGGGGGTGGGGGGAGGATGTGCTTAGCTATCCGATGGGGATTTGAGTTCCATTACCCGAATAGGGAGATTTTTATCTTTAAAGGACATCTGTACCAGCATTTGTTGGTCCAGGCGTAGACCTATTTTTTTGTCCCACTTCCCGACGAGGTGTGGGGAGGGGGGGTGGCCTTAAGCAATTTTCCTCTCCGATGGCTGCCACTGGGTACCGGTACATAAATAATATTGATTTAACACACATATAATACTTCCTATAATCAGGACTAATGGTGACATCTTGTAAGAGTAAATTCTTAATACGGTTCATTCAGATTTCCTGCGAGAATAAATATAAATTAAAAGACGGTCTATAATATGTCACTCAGTGACTGTACAAGTAAATCAAATCCAAGAGAGAACGTCACGACTGTTGACTGAAATAGGGAACATATAGGCGCCTACTCTATGTTTGCTTTGTCGACATATTTTTACTCATTCCCATATGTCTACGTCGTGATATGGCCTGTGGCTGAAAGAAAAAAAAAATGTAGGGCTAATACTTGATGAAAATTGCATTTTTATAGACCATGATTAATAAAATCAACTATTAAAACCAAGGAGATATTAAAAAACCAATACTGGTTGATAGAATTAACTAAACATCAAGACCAGTTTTTAGCGATCTCCCTGGTCAAACCAACGTCATGGTATTTCCCCATTTCAGACGTTAGGGCACAAAAATGATCATCAGGCCTATTTTCATGACAATTGGGCACAAGATCATGTAGGCAAATCATTTTAGCCCATTGCTGTCGTATGTACTTGCTGATATTTGATGTACTGTACTGACATAAATATATTTCATGATCATTTTAATTATGATTCTTAAATACCTTATGTTAAGTATTGGAACGCTACTATGAATCAGAATGAAAGTGGGCCAATACTGTAGTCCACACTACTATCAGGCACAAACACGTCTAAACATGTAATCAGTCAACCATTTAACGGGGTGGAGCAATGAGCTAACAGCCTCAAACATGAATAAATGCAGCCGGGCTAACAGTATTTCAGGGTGCATTAGGATAGCTTGTCAGAATTAGAAAACACATCAGAATGCGATACTGTCATTCAAAAATCAGTAGAGATGACGCCTCTGCATTGCCTAGGTTAAAAAGTTTTTTTGGTGATCCGCTTCACCATCGGATCACCTCTTGTTATTATCAGAGATCTTTTTTGGTGATCCACTTCTCTTGTTATTGTCAGGATCATCTTTTTGGTGATCCGCATCTAGTGTGGATCACCTCTTGTTATTTTCAGGATCATCTTCATCTTTTTTTTATTCTTCTTTCTTTCTCCCGATTTCTGTTCGCACGAGATCTCAAAATTGGCACAAACTATGCACAAGCGCGCTCCAACAAACATCTGGCTTCGCCTGGAATAGTCACGGTAAGGTTTTCAAGATGACCAGTCATGCGTGACATCATGTACGAGCAATTTTGGGTTTTTACATTATCGATCATATCAGACTAACCAATTGCATTTCGAAATCGTATTAGGTGAGCATTAGCTTCAGGTTAATGTTAAATGTAATATACCCTAATTTTATACGCGTGCGTCAAAATTTTGAAATGCTCGAAATCACTTTTTGACTAAATGAGAGTTTCAGGCTATTATGAGCATTTCAACATTTTTTTAAATTTTCGGCGCCGCGCCTGTATGGAAGCTGGACATTTAGTTTTTTTTACATGTTTTTGTTTTCAATAGCAATGTCGTACGTGCGCATATAACATACGAATCCTTGTGTGTGTGGTTGTCGACATAGAG